CAAAATTCTTGAAGAATTTGAATAAATTTCTGGATAAATTTTTTTCGCTTGGAAATTCTGAATGTTTGCAGCTGAACATGACGATGGCCGGGGATCGAGGGGAGACGTCGCGCACGCTGTTTTCTGCCCAAATCCTCGTCTTTGTCGTCGTCGGGCTGTTTGGCAATTTGAATATATTGTATGCGACCTATCAGCACGAGCGGTTGAGGACCAAGAATGGTGGGTGGGGGGTCGAATCGCTAACAGAATGTCGAATTCATTTTGTCGAAAAACACCTCGGGAAAATGTTACTTTCCAAAATATTACTTTGCCGAAATTTATGCATCTCCAAAATCAATGCATCTTTCAAAAAATTGACAATTCAGCGCATTGAAATTGTGAAAAAATAATGTTCGACAAAGTGATTTTTGGCATGCTAATTTTCGGCATTATGAAACTGACCCCCCATAATCTCGCGATTCAGGGATTTTCCTTGCCCAACTCGCCGTGCTCCACATTATCGCCCTGGTTTTCGAGCTGAACAATGCCTACTACGAATATTTTGCGATTCCGGTGATCAGGGATGAGTGTTTTAAGGTGAATATGGCAGGTGGAAGCCAAATACCTGGCGTAAATTCAGAAAATGACGCCTTTGATGCTTGTGCATGGGTGGCAGGGCTCGATGTATTTTGTGATGGCGGTCAACTTTTTGTATTCGGTTTTGAAGCCGTTAAAGTGAGTTGGTTAATGGTAATTCTGTCGATCTCTCTCTCTCTCTCTCTCTCACGCTCTCTCTCTATCTCTCTTTCCCTCCCACGCGGTCTCTCTCTATGACTCGGTCTCTCTCTCTCTCTCACTCTCTTTCTTTCTCTACCATAAAATTTATTTAACCTTTGAAATACACGTAATTAGATACCGCTTCATCGAGACTTATCGCTACTGCCTCTGGCTGAACCTCCCTTCGATTGCGTATACGGTATGTCGGCGACACGATTTAGAATCCGCCCAATTCTAGTTGGCGCTCTACACGTGGTCATATTTCTCCATGAACGATGACATCATTCCATTTTGCAACCCTCCACTCGCCTACCCGACAATCATATCAAAGTGGGACCTTTGAAGGGGTTGAAGGGGCTCCGAACTGCCAAATCAAAGCCCTTTTGGGAGGCCTCTTTGATTTCTGGCAAATTGCCAGCGGGCGCTGCGGGACGAGAGCCTTCACTCTTTCGATTTTTGCGCGAAGTTGTTTTTGCCCGGTTTCTTTGTGAAAACACTATAATTCGCACATTCTGAGCTCATTTTTGAAATCCTCACTCAATTTTAAACAGTTTTGGTGTTTTAATCATCAAATTTGGCCCAGAAACAGCCGAGAACGCGATTTCGAGGTGACAACAGGCAATTTCAAATTTGCGAGCTTCCCGCGCCCCTAGGTGTACAGAGGTCTCCGACGTACAGGGTTCAGATTTTCGGGCTGTCACTCAAGTTTGGCATTTCGTAGCCCCTTTAAAGAGATTGGGAAGGCGGCTATGTGGGCAGTTACCCCCCCGCCCAGCCGACCCCACCTAGCGTATCTCGGCTCCCTGTTCAGCTACAGGTGTGTCAAGGATACCAAAATACTCGACAGATCAAGACGAACATTTTGGTGTACTCTACAAGCCGTTAGCCCAACGGAGTGCCGAGATACAAACATCATTCGTTCGGCGTTTAGAGTAAATGCAATGAGCCAGCTGCTGTTGACCCTGTTTGCATTTGGGTGCTTTATCGGCGCGTATGCAACGGTCAAATACAAAGGTGGGGTGAAAGTGTCGACTTCAATGAGCCCTTGAATTTTCAGACTTGGTCGATATTGGGAAGCAGTGTCCGCCCTGTTGTTTCCAGGGAAGTCCATTGAAGAAGACGACCTGTGTCGGATGCCATGTACGAGATAGTAATAAGGTAACCTTATTATTACCGTATTTCCTCTAATATAACCCGGGGTTATATTTGTTAAGACTTTACTTACCTCCCCCCTCCCCCCCACAGCCGAAGTTTTTCAAAGTTTCCGGTATTTTCACTTATTTTTTCGGGATTTTTGCAACGCCATTCGATAGAGCGTCGAAAAAATTAATACGAGTTTTAATCTGAACCTACAATAATGTAAAATAAAAAAGTTATAGCCACTTCGGCTGGGGGGTTAAGTAAAGTGTTGCCTTACATTTTCTGAATGATTTCGAGGGAGAATGTTGTATGAGAGGGAAGGGAGATATTTTTTTCGTGATTTTGAGCAATTACAACCATTTTGCCAGTTCAGACTGCTCACAAGAATTCTGGAACACAGTACGGAGCTTAAAGGGCACGTTCACGGACGTTTTTTGGAAAAAAAGCAAAGATTTTTGCCGCGGCCGGGGGTCCATAGGGTGTACACGTTGGGACGAGTACACGGCCCCTCCCTGAACGTGCGTTTTAAGCAAAGCATAACCGTTTCGGCCGTTGTTATCCTTAAAGAGGCTCCGAAATCTGGTCGACGCCCCCCCCCCCCCGCGTTGATTCCTGGCAAATATCCAGCTGCCTCCGCACCGCGACCGCGCCGCATGAACTTTTGCCACAGTTTGGACGTGAAAACGCTTGAATTTATAAATTCTGAAGCTTTTTCTGGAATGCTCATCCAATTTTGACCATGCTAGACTTTTATGAAAATTGACGAGAGAATCACCGAGATCGAGAGATCGGGGGACCTTACAGGGCGTTGCGACATGTAATCACCACGCACACAAAATGTCGTTTTTGCCCCTAGAAATTTCGGTTCCACTCAAATATTTTTGCCGCTTTTTCGAAACGAAATCAATTTTCTGGTACTTCTCGGTAGTAATCGTTTCCTTTTTGACCAGCGGGTTCAATCCCCGCACGCACGAATTTTGACTTCCGAGCCCCTTTAAAGGTCAATTCAAAATTTTTTTGGTGCGGTTATATTAGAGACAATATAAAAAGAAATAACCGGAGCCTTAAACCAACAGCCTTCCTGGTTACAGTTTGCCCGTGCCCTCGTCCTCCTCACCGTGGTCAGCGGGTTCGCCTGGCTATGCCTGCATTTTATGGTTTTCTCGGCATATTTCTGGACGGACAATCGGCTCTATCAGGGATATATTCAGAGCTATGCGGTGGGTTAATGCAGCAATTGAAAATATTAATCGATTTCTAGGTAATCTTTGCGCTGATCAGCTACACGCAAGACTATTTCATCTTCTATTGCCGCTCGGAGCTCTACCGATCCGCGTTCCAGCTGCAGATCAACAAGCTACTGTGCTGCGAGGTCTTTGATGTAAGTGAACAAGGGATTTCCGAGCAAAAAATGGTTCCACTCTTTACCCCCCCCCCCCCCCCTCGAGCCGGAATGTTTTGGCTATTACTTTTTTATTTTACACCAGCGGGGGAGAAGCCGCTTCGCGACTCTCCCCCGCTGGACCCCGTCTAGGCCCTATGAATCGAGCGCCCTTCCACATAAAGTTACCCTGAAGAAAGAAAAACACATCTCCCATGCAAACCTCCTTGTATTCTCATGCGGCGCAAGCTTAAATTGCATTGCTTGCAAGCACTATTAAGGCCTGCGGCGCATGCTTGAGCGGTTTGCTTCGAGATAAAGCCTGCGGCGCTAGCTTGAGCGGCTAGCTTCGTTCTAAAGCCTGCGGCGCTAGCTTGTTTTACATTATTGTAGGCTCAAATTAAAACTCTTACAATATTTTTTTGAAGCTCTATCGAATGGCGTTACAAAAATCCCGAAAAAATAAGCGAAAATACCGAAAACTTTGGGACCATTCGGCTGCGGGGGGGGGACAGGTAAAGTCTTAACAACAATTTATGCATGCAACGATTTGACGATTGCTATTAGGTGAAGCGTCTCCATTCGACGTCCGAACAACAGCGGAGGGCCAATTCCGAGAAGTTACTTGGCTCTCAACGTTCCAGCACTGCCATAACGGCATCCTCAAACTGAAGGACACAGCTTCCATGCTTTCTTAAACACCTGACAAGGAGACCTTTTTTGTGTCGTCGGGGTTTCGAGTTAGGACCCAGCCTATCTTACTGGGGAAGTGCACACCCTGACCCTGGGATAACGACAAAGTGCATCGATAGAATCGGACATTGGGATTCCGAATCTGTACTCAGAATCTGCGAAACAAAACGGAGAAAAAGTTATGAGGCTTCAAAGGTGGCAAAATCGTCAAAAACGGTACCTTTTGGGGCCTGTAAAAAGCGCAAAAGCGGAATTGAGCAGAAACTGATGGATGCATTTTGTTCAGCAGAAAAAAGGCCTTCGAATAAATACGTATGATTTGCAAATAATTCATCGAAAAAATGTTTTTGAATTCACGGGCAAGATAGCCGAAATCATCGTAAACTTTACGCATTATAGCTTATTCGAAAGCGCTTATTCTGCTGAACAAAATGCTCTAATGGGTTGTTGCTGAATTCCATTGCCCGGCCTGAAAGGTACCGATTTTGGCGATTTTGCCAACTTTGAAGCATCATAAGTTTTTTCTCCGTTTTATTTAGCGGATTCCGAGTACAGATTCGGAATCCACTTGCGGCTACTCTTACTCCAGCGCTAAATTCTGCACAAGCCAAACTTGGTCCCAACTTAAAACCCCGACGACACGAGAAAAACGTCTCGTGGTTATGGAAGACTCTTTATCTTATCTTACCGTAAGATCATTCATTTCCTCAAGAGACCCGCAATTGTCGATTTGTCAGCGATCAGACTTATAATCCATGTTTTCCTAGACGTATTCCTCCCCACCCTCACTTGATCTCCATTCCAAGAGCTCTGTTATTTTTGTTACGAGCTTCCCCCGAACGGATTCCCGCCTTTGTGTTGTTTTGACAGCTGATGTAAACGAATTTATGTACAACACAAAATGCACGAGGGCTACCCGTAGTTGGCGAGGTGTGGCTGGGGTGGGGAAGTGACAAGCAGAAACTGGGCTTAAGGCAAAATGGAAAAAACATGGAAGAAGAGGACCCGAAAGTTTGAATGTCCGTTTTTACAGGGTTTGGTTGAAGGCCCGCAGGAAGAAGAAGGCACGGAGGTAGGCATAGAGAAATAACACTTGGATGGCAACGATCACACAGACGCTGGCTCTGAAAATTTCGATAAGATGAGTTTAGGCAGAGGATTAGGTTATGCTTTGCTTGGGCTTAGGTTAAGGCTTAGCCTATGGTTAGGCTTAGGCTTTGCTTAGGATTAGGAGTCGGCTTAGGTTTAGCTTAGGCTAAGGCTTAGGCCAGGCTTTGCTTGGGCTTAGGCTAAGGCTTAGGATTAGGCGTAGGCTTAGGTTTAGCTTAGGCTTAGGCTATGCTTAGGTTCGGCGTAGGCTTAGGCCTAGGCTTAAGCTTCGCGTCTAGGGCCATCACTAGACTTTCCTCAAGAGTCTCTGCCAAACCCCCACCTTATTGCGATAGCTTCGCCCATCTTCGCTCCACTCCTATCGACACTTGCCACAGACGTTTTCTGATTGATATCGTTTACCTCGCTGGGTAATGTCAAGATAGTTGCGATGAGGGCACCTAAGTGACCCGCTTTGTATTAATACATCGTTAGAAAGGACTTACCAATCAAAGCGACGAGGAGGAGGAGGGTGGCAAGGATAAATGGTAGCAGGGCGAGATGTTTTCTCGTGAATAGACCCCATTGGAAACAGGCAAAGCAGAAAAGAAGTAGACACGGCGGTACGATCACGCCTGAAAATGGTGAATAGGGGATTTTTTTGTATCATCTCTCTTTCTCTCTCTCTCTCTCTCTCTCTCTCTCTCTCTCTCTCTCGCTCTCTTTTTCTCTCGCTCTCTCTCCTACTCGCTCGCTTTCTCTCTTTCTCTCTCTCGCTCTCTCTTTATCTCTCGCTCTCTCTCGAATAATATTTGAATCCTCATATCAATCCAAAACCAACCAATAAGTTTCCCGGTGGAAAGCGGATTTTGTTTGGAGGAGTCGTTGATCAATCTGAAGGTCAAATACCCGCAGAACCCGAGAATAGCCACCATCGTTAGGCACGAGCCAATGATCGACGCTAAAATGCAACATTACAGAAACAGCTACCTGACAATGTCACCTGTCCGTGCCGTAATGCAACATATACGGGCCTCCCGCAACTTCGGGGGTCTGGGTGGGGTGTCGGTGGCAAGCTGACTGCTTAGACACGAGATTTTTGTCGAGGTGAAATCTGGAAAGGGATTCGAAATTAGACGTTTTTACAGGGTGTTACAAGAAAGCGCCCCTTGGAACTTAGAGCGTGGATTTCCGCTAAAACCCCATGAAAGACGTAAAATAATGTTTATTTTTGTTATAACTCTAAATCTACTATGGCTCTGGGGTTTTTAGGCAAGGTTGTGGTTATTTGGTGGTTTTGGGATCGATCGGATGAAAGCGGCCAAATGCCAAAAGTGCTTTTAGACACCAGATATCTTGAAATTTCGCGGTCAGTGACAGGCTGCTCCGCGACACGCAACGCACCCGAGTGAGTACTGTGCGCGTTATGTGACGCCAATCCGACAAAAACCACAGGGAATCCATGATCTGACCAATTCCTCAAAACACCTACCCTTTTTCTTCTCATTTTTAAACTTTCGATCGTCGGGCAAATGGATAAAATTGCCGTCACAGGAGAGAAAATCTGTGCTCGACATTGCTGAAAAAAAGACATATACGCCTGTTTTTTAAGGAAATTCCAGCATAAATCAATAGTATCGAAGCAAAATTCAAAATGCCCCGCCGGGACACCATAAAATCAGAATGAGGTGTGCCGTGTGCAATCGGGGGGATTCGGACCGGAAACAGGTGCTTCCGCCCGGAATTAAACGCAACGCAACGGGTTAGGGTTGCAAGTACATTTTAGGGCATTTTTTGGGTCATAAGGATCGAATCGCCATGTTTGAGAGGGCATAGAATGTGATAATTTTCGGACGCCGCAATATGCATGCAAAAAGAAACAGCCAGACGAGGGGCCAATGAAATGTGTCGGGAATAATTGGATGGTTTGCTGTTTGTAGATTCATTGCCTGGAGGAAAGGACCGAAGGGCCAACAATACACATACATCCAAACAATTGAATATCGATGGGCTTAGGCTCGGATTAGGCTAAGCTTATGCTTATGCGCTTAGCTTAAGTTTAGTCTTGATCTTGGTATGACTTAGGCTTCGGCTAAGGCTTACGCTTAAGCTTAGGCGGGCATTGGGCTTAAGCTAGGCTTAGGTTAGGCTTAGGCTCAGGTTTGGGTTAGGCTTAGGCTTAGGTCAGGCTTAGGTTAGGCTTAAGCTTAGGCTTTGGTTAGACTTGGGCTTATGTTAGGTTTAGGCTTAGGCTTAAGCTTAGGCTTAGGTTAGGCTTAGGCCTAGGCTTATGATTCGTTAAGCTTGGGCTTAGTCCGAAGTTCAGGCGTAGACTAAGGTTGAGGCCTATGCTTCAGTAGCGTTCTTGGCAAGTTCAACCCGATGTTTTCAGCGTCATTTCTGGCAAATAAGCTGCGGGCGGCCGCCGTTTTGGCAGCTGCAAATTTCCAGGGAGCCACCACCCTATTTCCGGTAGAAAATTCTAATTACTCGCAGAGTGGGGCAGCAGGTTAGCGCAATACTACGAGGGATAAGACCAAATATTAAGCAAAAAGCTGTGTTCCGCGAATTTTTGAAGCGCCCTACTACCCCCCGGGGCAATCCGTAGTGGACGTGCGGAAAATTGGGGGGGGGGCCTTGCTTCAAGGATTGGGCCCTTATGCTGCTGTCTCCCCAGCTAGGGCCATTTCCGTTTTGACGCCCAAGAATTTTGGTGGGCGAAAAGGGAAGAAGGAAGAAAAATAGGGCTGTAGAAATGAACAAATGTACCGTGGAGCAATGAACGAAACGAAGAAACTAGAGTTTTATTTAGTGCGCCGAATTTTATTTAGTGCGCAAAATCTCTCTCTCTTTCGCTCTCTCTCTCTCTCTTTCGCTCTCTCTCTCTCTCTCTCTCTTCTCTCTCTCTCGTACTCTCCCTCTCTCTCGTACTCTCCCTCTCTCTCTCGCTCTCTCTATCTCGCTCTCCCTAACGCCCGCCCTCTCTATCACTCGCTCTCTCTCTCTCTCGCTCTCTGTCTCTCTCCCTATCCCTAATATACTACTCCTACTCCGCCGAATTCGCCCCCATAATCCAAATGACCTCGAGGTAAACGCAAGGAAAACGCTTTGCGAGGGGCAAGAGGGCCCGGATGATTGGACAAATATTCGAAAAACGAATCAAATATTAGCGGAGACAGGGAGATGGGGCTGGGAATGGCTGAGGGGGGGAATGGTTTGTCGACAAGCTTATGGGAAGACGAGTATCAAGGAGAATCGGGAACCGTTTTTGCCTGTGTCTTTCTCTCTCCCTCGCTCTCTCTCTCTCGTCTTGCTCAGACAAGTGCTTTTATGATGAACGAACCCATAAATTCACCCTAACCCCTATGGGAAATGAGCGGCAGCCAGTAGTAGGGGATTTGGGGGCAGCTGGCAGGGATCATTTGTGAAAATGGGGATTCTTAAGAAAAAGAGAGAGAGAGAGATAAAGAAAGAGCAAGAAAGAGAGGACAAAATAGAGGAAAACATGATAAAGGGATGAAAAGGCAACAGATTCCAGGCTGGCTCCAAGATAAGCATGAATCGGCGGCGGGGAATGAAACAGGCCACACACGTCTGCCCGCCCTGGTTTCACCTGATTCACTCTGCAACTACACCAAAAAATAGCACAGAATGACGTATCGGCGGGTTAATTTAGAATTCCTAAGTAAGTACTGAAGCAACTAATTATTAAATATGCTTTGTCCAATAATTTCTCGCCTTTTAAAGGAACCCACAAGGCAGGCCGGTATTGGTCTGATAGCGGGGGGAAGCAAATTTTCAATTCCGAATGGCCCTTTGCCAAAATATAAACTATTTTTGTCAGATTGACACAGTTTTTAGATATAAAAAGTTATAGCACATTCTCAAAAGGCTCGAAATTTCCTTTTTGGTCAAAAATGTATAACGAGCCCAAATTTTCAAAATTAAAATTTTTTAAACTAGCAGTATTAGCAGCAGTCAGCAGCACAAAATATTTTGCGCGAGATGTACCACAAATTTTTAATAAAATATAAAATATTTATATAAAATATTTTAATTTAGCGCTGGAAAGCTGGCACGGCTATAAAAACCAACAAAAATTGTGCAAACGTCTCTAAAAACAAAAATCTGGATATTGTCATCCCTTTAAAACAGTAAAAGCAAAAAAAGATCGGAAAACAACGAAGAAAAGACGATCGGCTTGTAAATGTTGGATCCAAAAACCCGGACCAAATTTTGGATTACCGTAATCCCGCCTGGAGCCGAGAGGCCATTTAGGAAATTGAAGCTCCGATGAAATCTGACGGACAACAAACGGAAAGTTTGCTTTTCACCGGCCCCCATCAAAACATCACGCCCAGGTATGACTTTGTGATAAAAACACAGCAGTACGTATCAGTACGAAAGACGGGGGGAGAAGCCCGGAAAATAGAGGAAAATCGTGATGAGGCCAGGGCGAAAAGCACACGGGGGTGTGAGTCAGGGAAAAGCAGAAGAAGGCGAGAGATCAAAATCATGTTTTCTGTTCACTAGCGAGAAGTTGACTTTCTTTCCTAACCCCTCCCACCCAACTGGTCAAGTGCCAATTTCTATTTTGCGCCCCGCTTTCTGCGCCGCGGATTTTTTTGACACAATGCCACTTTTGGAAGCGGGAAAGATGCTGGAAATTGATAAAAAGGTATTACATAGATTGTTTAATTAGAAAATCCGCTTTTGCGATAAAAAGCGCGTTTGGGGTTGAAAGCTACGCCAGGAATAAATTGACAACGAATGCTGTCGATGAGAAAGAACGGCATCTTGCTCTTAAAACACGGAATTTTTTGGGGGAAAATCGGCTTCTCAAGAGGGAACTAGCCTTCCTATAACCAGACGTCCTCATGGACGATCGACTTTCTATTAGATACCACACCTACCTACTTAAATTTAATTTTAATTGTAAGGCCCAGAAAGGCCCAATCCTTCTTTTGCGTTTTTCGCACTGAAAAGTTTCATAATTTCCCGCGGTAAGAATTTACTTCACCCCCTTCCCCCATAGCCGAAGGGTCGAAAGTTTTCGGAATTCACGCTTATTTTGTCGGGATTTTTGCAACGCCATTCGATAGAGCGTCGAAAAATATACGAAGCTTTTTAATTTGAGCTTACAATAATGCAAAATAAAAAGTTATAGTCAAAACCAGGCCCGTAGCGGAACCGAAATTTCGGGGGCCCAAAATTTTGGCGACCTCCCCCCCGTCGCCACTTTTAAAACATCCGAAAATCGCGTCAAGAATAGCGCCGCAGGCAAAAAAAATAACAAAAAAGCGTTTGCTACACTCAAATTCGTGTGAAAACACGGCAGAAAACGCGCCGCAGGCAAAAATTTTATTTTGAAAAAATAGGCTTCATATAAGTAATAACTGTTTGAAAAACAGTAATAAACAGCGCCGCAGGCAGAAAAATTTTTGTAACTGAAAATCATAAGGGTCCCCCCTTATGAATTTTTCGGACCTCGACCGATTTCGGAAGGGCCCCCCCCCTCCTACGGGCCTGGTCAAAACCTTTCCGCTGGGGGTAAAGAAAACCGTAGCTTTTCACAATCAGGCTGTTGGAAATTTTGAAACGAGGTTCGGAATCGGCGTAAAATTCTGCACGAGGTAGAAAACTCGGGTATCACCAAAAACCTGCGCATGAAAAAAACCGTCGAGCGTCCACGGTATCCCTTCGGAATCTGCCATGATGTTTTGGAGGTTTCGGAGGATATATAACCAGGCAAGACACACGGAAAATGTTCGGAACCACCACCTAGACGATTGGCTGGATGCGGAATGGAGTGCATGCGGGAGGGGGTGCTTGGCATGGCGGGTAGTAGACGGAATGGCCGTCGCCGGTTCTTCACGCGGATTACGATTTAGGCGGACGGGTCGGAGGAGGAGGGATAGGAGCGATGGGGGAAAGA